TAGGTGTACGTGGCTGGCGCCTTAGCCAGTTGAGCTATAGGCGCCGAGCCCGATAAGGTTTTAATATCCAAAATATATAAATACTTCTAATTCTTAACAAAATGACACAAAAAATAGGCAAAGGTCTTCTTTGAATATTCAAAGATATAGTAATGGCCAATAAGCACATGAAGAGATGCTGAACATCAGTACTCATTAGGGAAATGAGACTCAAAACCACAAAGAGATACCACTTCCCACCTAAGTAGGAAGGCTATAATAAAAAAAAGAAAGGTAAACAAACAAACTCAAAAGAACATGTATTGACAATGGATGTAAAGAAACTGGAACTCTTCTACATTGCTACTGATAATGCAAAATGGTATAGGTATGTGGAAAACAGTTCGGCAGCATCACAGAATGTTAAACACAAAATGACCCAGCAATTGTACTCCTACGTATTAAAGCTATTAAGTGTAAAATGTCTAATTTCCTTAAGTCTGACAGCTGATATCTCGGACATTTCACTTTGACACTTTTATTATGAAGGCACACATTTTTTCAAACACATATTTTGGCTTATGATTATCTGTCAACATTTTTTAGAGCAATTTTTATAAAACTATGATTGAGTCAAAAACTTGTGTTATTTTTAATATGAGTTCCATCATGGAACCAATGCAGTGCTGACAGCTCAAAATATCAACAAAGTGTTTGGGAAGGATATAGCTAATGAATGTACACTGATGTTTGAGAAGTTCCATTCTGGTGATTTTAATCTTCAAAATAAGCCACATGGGTGATCTGAGACCAAGGTGATATTGATGAGCTGAAAGCTATAGTGGAAGTGAATCTACCTCAGTCTATGAGTGAATTAGCAAGGTTTCAGGTTACTATTCCAACAATATTGGACCATTTGAAACAAATCAGTAAGGTAAAGAAGCTGGATACATGGGTTCCACATGAATTAAAAGAGCATGAGAAGACAAACTGAAAGCTTGCCTTTCTTTGCCATCACAACATACAGGTGAACCATTTCTATGCTGTATTGTTACATGTGATGAAACATGGCTTCTTTTTGACAATCACATTGTTTGGAACAATGGTTGCATAAAACTGAAGTATCAAAACATAATCCAAAATCAAATTCATCAGAAAAAGCTTATGGTGTCTGGTACTCCAGCACTGGTATTATCCATTACGGCTTCATGAAACCTGGTCAATTATAGTGGATGTCTATTGCAACCAACTGGATGAAATGATGATGATGCTTGAGATTAAGGGGCAGATATTGGTCAATAGAGACAGGCCATTTCTCTTGCAAGACAATACCGTCCCACAAACAATGTGGCTCAAGCTTGACTTGTAAACTCTATCATCCACTGTATTTAAATACCAGACCTTGCACCTGACTACCATCTCTTCCATGCTTTGGACCACTTCTTGCAAGGGAAAATATTCACTTCTCAACAAACTGTGGAAAATGCCTTTCATGATTTCACTGCTACTTGCTCTCCAGGATTCTTTTCTGCTGGCAAAAACAAGATACCGTTAGGATGGCAAAGCAGCATTTGTAATTTAGGTTCCTACTCTGATTAAATGTACTGCTTCTAGTATGAGACATACTAAAAAAACTTTTGATTCCAAATCAGACATTTTATACGTGGTGACCTGATACATACCCAAGAAAACTGAAAACATAATAGTCTTAACAAAAACTTGAATACAAATATTAACAGTATTATTATGCATACTAGCCAAATCCAGAAAGAAACCAAATGTTTATCAACTGATGAATGCATAAACAAAATGTATACCCCTATTAAGACAATGTTATTCAGTCATAAAAAAGAATAAAGAACATATACCATCATGCTACAACATGGATAGATGAATCTTGAAAACACTATACTAAAAAAAAGTATACTAAAACTCCACATATTCCACGACTGTATTCATATGAAATGTCCAGAATAGGCAAATCCATAAAGAAATAAAGCAGAATAGGGTGGCACCTGTGGCTTAGTGAGTAGGGCGCTGGCCCCATGTACTGAGGGTGGCAGGTTCAAACCCAACCCCAGCCAAACTGCAACAAAAAAATAGCTGGGCCTTGTGGTGGGCGCCTGTAGTCCCAGCTACTTGGGAGGCTGAGGCAAGAGAATTTCCTAAGCCCAAGAGTTAGGGGTTGCTGTGAGCTGTGACGCCATAGCACTCTACCAAGGGCGACAAAGTGAGACTCTGTCTCTTAAAAAAAAAGAAAGAAAGAAAGAAAGCCCAATAGTAGTTTCGAGAAAAGGTGGAAATGAAAATGAGTGTTTAATGGATCTGAAGTTTCTTTCCCCTGTGTAGAAGATGTTCTAGAATTAGGTAGTGGTGATAGCTGCACAACATTGCCAATATATGGTAAGTTACTGAAGTGTACAGTTCAAAATGGTTAAAATAGTGAATTGTACATTATGTCAATTTTACCTCAATTAGAAAAAACAAACCTGAATACCCAGCTCATACCTAGCAAGTAGCAAGGGTGTGTAAAGCGGGACCTACGTTGATGGTGTGAGATTTTAAAAGTTCAGTAGTTTCTCATACTTTAAAAAAAATATTTAGTCACTATGATTCAGCAATTCCACATGATATAAAAACATATGTCCAAAGAAAGACTTCTATACACATGTTCATAGCAGCATTATTTATAACAGCCCAAAACTCAACTAGAAACAACTCAAATATCCATCAACAGGTACATGAATAAAAAATGGTATACTCATATGATAGAATACTAGTTGGCAATAAAGAAATAAGCCTGCCCTCCCTGATCCTTCCCATTCCTTTCATCTTCAATGTGTATCTTTCATCTGCAATGTGTATCTTTCATCTGAATGACTCTTCAAGTACACTTTCAAGATCTACTTCAAGATAAACCTCATTCTTTCACCAATAGCCCTGATTATTGACATGATAGGTAAGGCAGTTTCTAGCTTTAATGCCCATAGATACATGTCCAAGCCCTTCTTCCTATAGGTACTAAAAGAGTGAGGTTCTGATATTTTTAAAAACTAACTTTGGGTGATAAATTAGAAAACTGTTAACTATCCAGGAGACCAGATTTTCTGCTTATTCATAGCTTGGAATTGTCACCTACAGTGCAGTAAAGGTGAATCTAACAGCATAGGGTGTAACTATTTTTGTTACTGGCCTTCTTCATTGTATTAAGTAAAAAACATAAGTTATCTTTCATTAGAACATAAAATGGACTTCCGTATTTACTTTCTTCAGTAGAAAAACCTGCTTAAATTTTTCCATGTCTTCCAAATCTTCCAAAGATCTAATCTTCCTTCCTATTACTGATGAAGTTTTTGAAACTTAATACTCAACCTGTCTCAACTTCAAACCCACTGTTTTTATTTAGTATTATACTAACCTTCCCCTTCTACTCAATTCTTATTAAAGAAGCTAATGATATTTTTAATACCAAAATCTATGGTCTGGTTTTCAAGTCTTAGCCCTTTAACTATTCTTTTGAGGATGGAAGAGCAGTACAGAGTTCACCAGAGAGCAATTACTAAACTCTTGCACCAGGTGCTGTACTAATTAAGTTTTCAGATATGTTCCATTTAATCTTCTGAGAAGCATTTATTAAATTTGAAGCTCAAAATTACCCAAAACATATAGTTAGCAAAGCCCATATGATTTCAATGTTCGCAATTCTGTGACTTTTAACGATAAATTTCTTCCTAGTTCTCTTCCAACTCTGCATGTTTTCCATGTTTTACTATTTCATCTTCTAGATAATCATTGTCAAATTTCAACTGTTCTCTTGGGCAATTACATTTCCTCCCATGGCTTTAATGAAAATCTATCTTAGTATTTCTCAACCTTTCAAAAGCTTTTTAAAACATAAGAATTTTGAGCTCTTTCTGTAGGTTACATTTTGAAAACAGATTTGTTCCCCAAACAGAAACTGTAACACTGAACGTTTATTCAAACTAGAACCCCCCTCAAAATCTTTAACCTTATGCATCACCCTAAGACTGAGGTAGGTCTGTACGACTGTCTCAAATCAATCTGTATGTCTTCTTCCCACTCAGCTGCTCCCAGACACCTTCCTTGAGTTATAAACTATTGTAATAAACATAGTTCCATTATTGTCCTCCCAGGCCCTTCAACGTGAACTTGCTTAAAACAAAACTCATTTCCATTATCTAACCTGATCCATTTCTGTGCTGTCCATTTTGGCTAACAGTGTTACAATCCACACTTGTTTATGCTTTCAGGTACCTATTTGCAAAATGGTAATAATGACATACTCTGATTTCCTGAACTTCTAGGTAAACAAATCAACCATTTACATGAGTGCTTTGGCCAGGAGCTAGGAATGTTAAATAGTACAAAATGTAATCCTCTTTCTACTTAAGAAGTTTACAGGCAGAAACATACTCAAACCAATTTTTTGTAAGGCCCATTTACAAAACTAAAATATTTCATAGGCGTTTTAATTTTTATCATAATCCCACTATCATCCTCGTTTCACATTAGATTTTAACCATTTTTTTATCATTGAAATAAACTTACACACAATAAAACGAAAACAAGTCTGAATACAATGAAGGTCAATAGAGCAGTTCTCAAAACCAAGTACCGGAAGGCACAAGGCGACCTGAAGGTGTTTTGGGGTAGCGGTGCGGCACTCCGGTCAGGGCCCTCGCTCCAACGCACCCTGTACCGCTCTCCCAGCAAGTCTCTCCACCGCCTGTCCAGAGCCGGCTGGGTCAAGGGTGGCTACGGGAAAACCCCGCTCTGTGACCTGAAGCTGAGGCGGGTTCGGCCGCGGCCGCCACCCCTAGCCTCCCAGACGTCAGACCCGTGAAAAATTATACCTGGTAGAAAAAGCAGCTGGAGGGCAGGCTGGCCTGGCAAACTTAAAAGGCGGGAATGACCCTGGTAGCCGACTGCTCCGGCCTCCAGCACCACCTGCATCCACAAGGTTTAGCCCACACTCGGCCACAGAAACTCCTCCGGACTGCGCGGGAACCTGAGGCAGAGGGCGGAGAGCTGGGGTATGGGGCAAAGAGCACGCGGGGGGCGTCATCGGAATGGGGGCGGGGCGTGGGCGGAGACACGGCCCTGGGGGCGGGGCGAGGAGCAAAAAAGGCTGGGCGTGATGGCGCCGAGCGCGCGACTCTCGGAGGCCGGTGCCGGGGGGCGGGGCGGGCAGAGGGAAGCCGCGGGCACGTGGGACAAGCGTGAGGCGGGGCGTGGGGCACAGAGCGCAGCGTGCGATGAGGCGGGGCCTGCGTAGCGGCGCCGCGGCCGCGTGACGCGTTTTCAAATCTTCAACCGCCGCAGCCTACTCGTTTGTGCCTTGCGCCTTCCTCCTCCGCGCCTTGGGGCCGAATTCGGCCCCGGAAACCCTGCCTGCAGACCCGGCACCTCTACTGCGTGGAGGCCGTGGCCGGCGGAAGAGAAGAGGCGACTGTACTGTCAAGAGGCCGGGAGAAGCCCTGTTTTCGCGGCCGCCGGGCGCGATACCCTCTCCGGACCCAGCATGTAGGTGCCGGGCGGCTGCCATGAACTCCGGAGCCATGAGGATCCACAGCAAAGGACATTTCCAGGGTAAGAAGCCCCTCCTCCGCCTACAGTCCCTTTAATCCTTTTCTCCCCTCTTGGTTCCACCATTGAGTCTTCAGAGTTCTCTCGCCTGGTCCACTGCTTTTCTGACCGCCCTCCACTGTGGTCTGAAGGAATGTTCCATCCAGGGTTTTGCCTCAGAGATGGAACGGATCCCAGCCCGGTCCCTAGCGCTCTGCCGGTTCAGCCGCGGTCCCCAATTGCCGATTGTGCCCTTGGTGCAAAACTAGCAAACAATGTGCGGATTCGGGAACTCGCCGAGGCTGCGGCGCTGCTCCGGCCCTTTGAGGGTACCGGTTCCATCCTCCGTTTAAAGTCAGACCTGCTCTCAGCTTTTCGTTTCATGATTAGATTTGGTGATTGTGGGTGGTTTTAAAGTTTATTTTTCTTCGCTCATAAAGGGAAGGTATTTAGGGAGACTATATTTCAAGCATACCATTGCTAGTTTCAGCATATAGACAAACGGAACCAAAAATATTTTCCACTTTCAGGTACTTGATTTGGTAAAATATTTGAGCTCGTTAAGTTTTTCATATAGGCGTGTGCGTTCTTAACTACCAATTTAACAACAGATTGTGTTCTAAAAGTGAATTTTTAAAAAACAGTTGCTTAGATTCTCAGATGTGTTTTCAGTGAAAATAACACAACGAATGGTGACTTAATTCTTAATGGGTCGTTATGTTCTTAAAATATAGACAAACTGTATATGAAATGAACCATTTAGTTTTTAATGTATAATCTTCATATGGAACTAAAACTCAGGAACCCTTAAGGACTAGGTTCTGGGTGATAGGTTTCTTATATTGCTAAGTGTGAAACGTTTTAAGCACCAGTTTTGCGTTCAACAGAATGGCAGATGCTCAATAGATAATTCAGTTACCCCTAAGGAGTTTACATCCTAAGGAAGAAAATCAAAGAGTTTTAAATAGACATAAATAAACATAAATATTTCCTGCTGATTTGACTTTAAATATTTTAAACCGTAGCATCTGTAAAGGTATACATGGCGTTTGGCCTTTAACCTAAGTGGTACCCAAATGCCAATGACTTAAATTGGTGGGATTGTAAGTATTTTTTCTGTGATAAGATTGTTGTGTAATGAAATTTTTTAAAACAGTAGAAGTTTTACATGAAATATGATTTACTTCCAAACATTGTGGTAACAGGTGGAATCCAAGTCAAAAATGAAAAAAACAGGCCATCTTTGAAATCTCTGAAAACTGATAACAAACCAGAAAAATCCAAATATAAGCCACTTTCGGGAAAAGTATTTTATCTGGACTTACCTTCTGTCACCGTATCTGAAAAACTGCAAAAGGACATTAAAGATCTGGGAGGGGTAAGTGAAAACCATACATATACAGGCCAAAAAGGAAAACAATTGTAACTAGTACTTTCTACTATGGTAAACATTTAAATTTTTATTTTTGGAAAAGAAAGGCATAGATTAGAGCCAACCTTGAGATTGTTATCAGCTGTTTGTTTATTGTTATCAGCCTTAATGAAAAACTATTTGTTTTGATAGCCTGACAAAACTTTCAGATTTCTCTGTTTAATAGTCTAGTGTAAAGTTTCCAGAGTGTAAGAAATGGGACTCCCTTGTCCTTCTGGAACTGCTCATTGCTGGCTCACTATAACATTGGGTTGTCTTCAAACAGCGGGAACTCCTTGAGTGTAAATATTGGGGAGCTGTACCCGTATGAATTAGTCAGGACATGGAAAACCTATGCATACCACAAAGTTAAAATTGCTCTTGTATGATAACAGATATTGAGTCTCAACAGAGTCAGTGTTAAGGAAACAGAACTCTGGATTAAGAACATAGAAAACCCTTCCTACCTTTTCCATTGATTAGATAATTAGGAAGTGAATAAAGTCAGGCAAAATTCTATTTTAACAAGTGAAGGTAATATGATTTTCCTCTTAAAAAGGTTACTGCTGGACTTTTGCATTTCTGAGTTCAGCATCATTAAATATCTGAACCAATCCTTTTGTTCCCATACTTGAACCTATCTTTGAAAAGTTATTTTACTTTTTTCTTAAAACATTGGCACATGCTTATAATACTAGTAGTATGTATCAAAATGAGCATGTGACTGCAATTCCTAAAGATCATCCTTTACAGGCTTGCCACCATATTGACTACACACCTATCAAGGATATTGTAATGTTTCAAGGATTTTAGACATTGGGTAAAGAGCCCTTTGTTGTAGATTGAAGAACTTGAGATCCAGAAAAATTGACTGGTTCAAGCAGAGCAGTCATTCCTAATTAGCCTCCTAATTCCCAGGGTAAATTACCACCTGATCCATTCTGTTCTAGTAATCAGTGGCTGCAAAGTAGCTCTGTGATTTAGTTTGACAGCTTTTTCAAATATGACAGCCCGTTAACCCTAAGTATAATAGTCTGAATCAGTGATAGTTAGATTTGTGTTTTTTACCAATGGAACCTTTCACACAAAATTATATTTAGAAGCCTAATTTGTAAAGCCAGTTAAAAAAGGGAACTGCTCTGGCTAAAACAGCAGTGTAGAGACTGAAGCAAGAAATGCTTGCTCTGTCCCCTTCTTAATCTCTCTTCCCATCCCCACAGCACTTCCTAAGGCACTTGCAGGCAACAAATTTTTAATTACTTTTGTCATAGGTAAATATTTGGGGGAACTTTTGGTTGTATACACTTCAAATTTTTACTCCAAAGTGGTTAAAAGTAAACCAGTGAAATTAGAGTTTATTAGTGTATGTTACCAAATTTTCTCCCAAACTTGTAGATTTTCAGCTGAATTTGATTTATTATTAACTTTCTGATTTCCCCCTTTCTATGCTTGTTTTCTTGTAATTCAGTCATGTTTAATTTCTAGGTCCTGAAATTTGTTCTCTCTAGTTTCAGGGAAAATACCCTAATACCTTACATATCTACATAGTGTTTGACTAGAAAATTCAATCATTGAGGGCATAGCAGTGATATCAGACATAATGGGGAAATATTTTTAATAGTGGCAATAAGAAAAGGAGCTATTAGGCCATGGACTGAACCACATTTAGGTCCATGTCTAAATAGTTTTGAGTAAAATAAGGCAACTGGAGAAGAATAGAAATGTAAGGGCAGGTATCTCGACATATCACAAACTTGAGGACAGAGTCAAATGTATGCTGTTCATCATCATAACCTAGAATCTTTAGAAAACAGGTTTTGAGTTTGTTTCAGAAGACACCGATTGGACAGTAATAAATTGATATTCAGATAATTGAAACTAATTCAACAGATATTTGATTGTGATGTGCAGTATACTCTTATGTGTGTGTTTTAGAAGGCACAGATTGGACAATAATAATTTGGTAATTCAGATAATTGAAACTAATTCAACAGATATTTGATTATGATGTGCAGTGTACTCTTATGCGTGTAGTAGATTCATAAACGTCCATTCTACCCTCAAGTTTTCATCTAGATAAAGATGACATGGGTACAATTAACTGACACAACAATGAATGTCAAGAGGAGTGAGGTATTACGTCTAGTTGAGGAATTGTGGAGGACTTTCAGCTTTGAAGAATGAAGATTTGTGTGTATAGGTCAGGTGCAGTGGCTCATGCTTGTAATCCTAGTGTTCTAGGAGTGCTAGGAAAACTGGATATCCATATGCAAAAGAATAAAAGTGAACCCTTGCCTTACATCATAGGCAAAAATTAACTCAAATGGATCTAAGACCTAAATTTTATAGCAGAGCTACTAGGCCAGGCACTGTGGCTCATGCCAGTAATCTTAGGACTTTCAGAGGTCAAGGTTGAAGGATCATTGGAGCCCAGAAGTTTGAGAGCAGACACGGCAACATAGTGAGACCCCCATCTCTACAAAAAATAATCTTAAAAATATATAAATATAAAAGCTAAAGCTCCTAGAGAAAATTTAGGGGAAAATATTCATGACATTGGATTTCTTGATTATGATTGCAAAATCACAGACAACAAATGAAAAAATATAAATTGTACTTCATCAAAATTACAAACTTTTGTACCTCAAAGACTCGAGAGTGAAAAGACAACCCACAGAATGTTAAGAAATACTTGCAATTTATATATCTGATAAGCCTTAATACCCCTATAAAGAACTACTTCCAGGCTCGGTGCCTATGGCTCAACCGGCTAAGGCGCCAGCCACGTACACCTAAGGTGGCGGGTTCAAATCCCCAGCCCAGACCCGCCAAACAACAATGACGGCTGCAAGCAAAAAATAGCCGGGCGTTGTGGCGGGCGCCTGTGGTCCCAGCT